CATGTCCTACCCCACTCCGCTTCCTCTTTCCCCCTTTGCCTGCCCAGCTTCACCTGCACAAGCCTCCTTGCTCTTCCTAGAACATGTCAGGATCCTCCTCGGGCTTTTTATAATCTTTCCCTGGACCCCTTTCCCCCATGTGTTTCCAGATATTTACATGACTCATGTTCTGCATCTGCAGAGATTTACCTAGCTCACCATCTCACTTTCCTTAGGAATGATCTATAATGAGGCTGTCCCCTCAGTATCCACCTGCCCCAATCACGGCTTTCCCTACTTTCCTGCTCTGGATTTATCCATCGTGCATATCCCTAAGTACATAGTTTATTTGCTCATTGTCTGCCCCCTTCCACAAAATGTCTCTTCCATGATGGCAGAGCTTTTTATTTGCTTTGTTACTGCTGTATCAGTATCTAGAACTGTGTATTTGTTGAATGAATGAATGAATGAATAATGAGTTGGCGAAAGAAGAAACAGGCCTTGCATGCTGTGGGTAGCTATCAGAGTTTTGTAGGAAAAAATGGAGCACTCTGTTTAATCTGGTGAATCCACTGAGTGGATATGTGTTAAGAGAGCTTCTACTCATTACTTTAAGTCATGAAAATAAATGTATCCTTAGAAGTTGAAAAGTGTAGGGAGAAAAGGGGTGGAATGAGAGTTTATAATAGGGGACACTGACAGATTGGGAGTGAAAAAAAGGTTTCTCTGAGAAAGCATCATCTAAGTGGACAACAAAAGCTTATACCGAAGTTAGGTAGGTGGGGAGTGGGGGAAAGAGGATTTCATGCAGGGAACAGCTTGTGCAAAGGCCCTGAAGCTGGAAAGTTCCATGAACTAAAGAAGGTCAGGATGATGGTATTGAAGGGAGCAAGGGGGCGGGGTGAGCTGGGTCATCCACCCACCTGTCTATATTAGATTAAGTTTAAACAGCTGTTTTAATTACCAATCTGGAACTTTTCTCTAATTGAAGAATAAATAGCTTACACCTTTTAAAAGAATTTCTATCCTGAGTAAATAATGTATGGGGATGGAGTGGAGAAGAAAAGTTACAGCTGAGAGAAAGCCTTCTCAATACCCCTGAAAATATAGCCTGAGCACCACATTCTGCCCAGAGCTCCAAGTTGGAAGTGGTTGTCCATGGTGTATCTCTGTGGATGCTAGCTCAATTTAAATTTTTTTCTTTTCTTTCATCTATCTTTTATTATTTATTTTCTGCATGCAGCGAAGAACTGAAACTCTCCCCCACCAGAAAAATTTCCCCTCTGGATGAGCATTTCGGGTTTTAATATGGGTTGTCTGATGGGTTTAATTGACAGGCTTGAGGTCCAGGTTGAAAAGGCCCTTGGGTGCTAATATTCGCAGGTGCCTTTATGTAGGTTTAGAAGGACCAGAGATGACTTGCCCTCAACTAAGGAAAGGTGGAAGATTATATAAGTATTATTTGCTTTTAGGTTTTTTGTTTTTTTTAAACCTCCTCCCCTCCCTTCCCCTTCTCCTTCCACTTTTCTCTATCACCACCCTCCTTGGAGTTAAAGAGGAGAGCCAAGGAAAGGACAGCCACAGGCAGACAAAGGGGTCCCCGGACTGCTGCCCTATGGTCTCAGCAATAAAAGAAAAATTGGCCCAAGGTCATGCTTTGGGTGAAGACAAGGTAGTGGCTCGGCGTCTTGGTTAGAAACCAGGACTGGAAGAGTCGCCCAGAGAAGTGGGCCCCAGGGCAAACCGGCTGTGGGTGGGGGGGAGCCAGCTCCAGCCTGACTACGAATCCCATTCCAACAGCACTCCCTTCCCACTGGGGAGGCGGCCTTCCGTCCCCGGCCCCTGCCGGGAGGTGGAGGCTGACCCCATGTGAAAGGCTCAGCGATCCAGAGTCGGGCGACACGCAGGTTCTGGCGGAAAGTTGGCAGCCACCGCCCTCTCTCCCGGCTCCCTCCCCGACACCCCCCGCCCCCCGCGCCTCTCCGGGCGCTACGGCGGGGGTGGGGGTGGGGGGAACTGGCCTAGTGTTCTGGAACAGCTGCAGCCGGCACTGGGCCCGCCTGGAATGCGGGGACAAGCTGCGCACCAGGACTTTTATGGAAACTTGCTGGTGGAGACGGCGGCGGCGGCGGCGGCGGCCAGAGGGCTCCCAGCGGCCGGAGCGGCAGCGGCAGCGGCCGGAGCGCCCAGACCCCCGCCCACACCCAGGCGCAGGACGCGCACAGCCTCTCCGCGCGCAACGAGGACACTCGCTTGTCGCCAGCTCCTGGCGGGTGAGAGGAGTCGGGGAACGTGGGGCGGGGGCGGCGGGGGCCCGGAGGTGTCGGGTCCCCCCCGCCCCCCTGCGGGGGCGGGGGCCGCAGGGAGAAGCGCCCCGCTCCCGGCTCCTGGCAGGGCTGCGGCCGCAGTACCCGAGCGCGCGGGGCTGCTGCCAGCTGTGGCGGCGCGGGCGGCCCGGCCCCAGCGAGGGGTGCCCTGCGGGCTCGGCGGGGTGGCGGCCCAGGTCTGCGCGTCGCCCTGCCTGCGCTCCTGCTTTCAGCCCCGCTCGTGCCGGTCGGCCGAGTTGCGTTCGGGTGCTATCTCCACTCCTGCAGGGAAGAGCCCTCCGCGAGCGAGCGGAGTGGGTGCAGTCCCTTCGCTCTACCCTTGGGGTCCAAGCAGGTATAAAGTTCGGTGTCGTCCCCCACTCACCACGTGCCCCCAGCGCGGTCTCGGTCTCCGCCCGCGATATCTGCTGTTTGTTTTTTTAAGATTTTATTTATCTGACAGAGAGAGACACAGCGAGAGAGGGAACACAAGCAGGGGGAGTGGGAGAGGGAGAAGCAGGCCTCCCGCAGGGCAGGGAGCCCGATGTGGGGCTCGATCCCAGGACCCTGGGATCATGACCTGAGCTGAAGGCAGGCGCTTAAGGACTGAGCCACCGAGGCGCCCTGATGCCTGCTGTTTTTTAAGAGAAACCAGTCCCGGTCTGTCACTGCGGAGGCTGAGGAGTAAAATGGGATTTAACAGCCTATCGTCTATCCCCCTCCCTCCAAAGTATGTTTTGGGGCGATTTTGTCCGAGGTGGGATGTTGGGGTGGCGCAGCTACAGTTGGAAGTTGGAGTGCAAAACGTGGTCACCTCTTGAGACCTCCCTTGTCCCTATGCTTTTTGAAAATGCGAAGCCATTCCAACTGTAAACTGTGAAACGCTCCACAATGCTAAAAATGTATTGGCATTTGAAAGAAAATAACCGAGTTGAGAGGTTAGTTGATTATCGCAATGGCTTCGAGGTCTTCATTTGGTATTTATTTAAGGTCCATAACGCGAACAAAGAGTTGGGGGGAGGGTGCGGTGGAGAGAGAGCGAGAACAAGGTAAAAATAGCATAAAGAGATGTCCTAACAAAATGTCTGTCCTAGGGAAAGAGGCAGGTAGAAAAATGTAAGTAAGCCTTAAGAAAGAAATAGTTCCATTTGCAAAGCAATGGGAGCATCATTCATCAGCTAAATTTTCTTAATGAATTCATGTAACGGGCCCATTGGCCTGCGAGTCACAACATAACTATGTGTTTGGTAGTACCGTTAAGTAAACCTGAGTATTTATACCATCTTAGTCACACGTCATTAAGCGAATCTCATTATCCACCCCCCCCCCCCCCCCCCAGACCTTGTACAGCTTAAAGAACTGCCATAAGAAAACTCAAAATACACGTAAGTCTCTGAAATTCTTTTGAGTTTGAGGTGTGCGAAAAATGAGGTGTGGAAAAGTGCATGATTGAGCGACAGTTTTCTGGGGAGATGTGTTTGATATAAATGAAATTTGATTATTTAATATAATTAGTTAAGATTCATCCTCACAGGTATTAGCCCCCTATTTTTCAAGATCTTTTATATTTTGACTGGCATAATTTAAATAAAAATGTGGGAAATTGTGTATTTTATCTGTAACAACTTCCTTAAGGAGCCCTGAGCAAAAACCACAACAAAATTCTTTTAAATCCAGTTTCCCTCAACACAGGATTGGTGTAATTCAGTTTTAATAGAAGATTCACATTTCTACATCCATTTTAGGCTGAACTGTAGTGAATAGCAATTTTTCTTGCTCACTTTCAATGGAATCTGTGCTATTTTTGAAAATTTGATATGTAAGATTGATCATTGTCAAATATATGTCATCTTGAGATGGCTGGCTATATTTAGCATCAACAGAGGAATATGTTATCTAGGCTTTTGAACAGTATTTTTCCCCTGAAATTATACGTGAAGTATTTAGGTTAGGGTTTCATTTGTGAACAGAATGAAAACTGAGGATGTATATTTTGAAGAGATTAATTGGAGATTTAGATTGCTTAGAACCCGAGTGACCTAAAATGACATACTTCAATTAGGAAAAAAAAACTATTTTTGAAACACCCTGAAGGCAAATAAAGGTATTGTTTAAATAAAAACACATGCCTACAAGAAAGAAAACAGTGCAGTAAATGTAGAAAAGGATGTAATAGACGGGCAGATGTCTAAAAGTTTTTATGGAAGAGATCAGTCAGTACATTTTATAGTATATAGGCCATATACACACAAAAAATATCTTGGTAGTCTAGAGGGAAAATGACCTACAACATTCTTAATAATTTCACCTATTTCTGTTCTTGTTTAATCAATTTGTGGTTTATATTACCTGTGTAATTTCTTTCATGCTCTCTTCTGGTTTTGTAATTGCAAAATTACATATTCTTTACATACACTTGGAATTGTTATATTTTCTCTTTCTATTTAAATATTCAGTGCATAGTTTGGCTGGACTTAGGGTACTATACTTTCTACACTCTAGGATGAGTGGATTTTTACCCTGAAATCCAACTTACTTCTAGTAAAATTTGTTTTTTGTTCTAAAGTTAATATACCATATTATATTTATGGTTAAAAATGATCAAGAATGGAAAGGGGGACTTTCAAAACGGGACACGTGTACCGTTAGTGTTTTGATATGTTTCCTCCTTTTCCCCCGTGCACAGGATTTTTCTCTTGGGTTGCCGGGTCTCTGGGAAGCCGTGTGTGCAAGCCCCGGGTGCAGTATCTGCCATCCAGTAAGTGTTCAGTACCCCTTCTTTTTCTCCCCACACCTCCCTTTTTTTTTTTCCTTCTTGTCCTCTCCTCCCTTTGACTGTGAGATTAGAAGGCAGATTGGGGCTCCCTGGGCCACATTTTGAGGTTGGTGAAATTCGACTTCTGCCTTCTTTTCTATGCCTCTTTTTTGTCCTTTCCTCCCCCTTAACTGTGCCTCCTTCTTTCAGGCCAAACTAGGCCTCCCTTTGTCTCTCCATTTTCTCAGTGCCGCCTGTTCCTTTAGATCAGGGGCCACAGATTAGCAGCCAGAAAGCCACCTGCAGCCATGGCCATGCTTACAAATTCGTACATTTTATGATAAGGATTTCTAGCGTCTCCTGAAAAACTGGGTCATTTCTGCATAGCAGCAGTACCCCGGGACTGAGCACTTGCTTCCCCCTCAGGGCACACATACCCCTTCTGACACTGTCGCCATCATTCCCTGTTACCTTACAACCGGCTGTCACTTGCTCACGTTACCTGTCAGTGACACTACCTTACCTTAACTTCCATTTACTTTGCCTGACCCTAGACACTGGAGTATGATGCAGCAGTCCCCTGATGTCCGTATGAGGCAAGTCTGAAGCCGTGATAGGATGGAGAGTCTGGACCCGGCATCAGGGACCTGCACTTGAAATGTTGTAGATATATTTGGGTCAGCAATCCTTCTTTTAAATAATGTGATCATGGGAATGAGAAGAGGTTAACATTCATTGACACTAATTGCTCATGTCAATTGGAGCTGGAAGAGACCATGTATACTAACTAAAACATTTTAACTGGTGGGATTTCAGAAAGCGTAGGGTAGGTATTTCTGGGAAAGAAAGCTTTCCTAGGAACTCTTAAAATACTCCTCATCTCTCTCCACCCTGGAAGTGTTTAGGAGAGTTTTTTTTTTTAACCCCTAGAGATTGACCATAAAGAGGAGCTAACTACTCTTCCTCTTCTGCCTCCTCACCCTCCCTTTGTTTGGAGCCAGAGGCCTGGGTCTGCCCATTCCCAGAGAGGGTGAGGAGGCCCAGTCTCCTCCAGAGAGTACCATGTCCATGTGCTTGTGAAACCAACTTCTGGTTTTTCATGATACCTAGCTTAATGTAAACCCACTCGATTTTATTTTCTATTCATTCATTTATGCATCTTCATCGTCAGCCCTCTTTTTGGAGCTGTTAATCATAAATTTTACTTGGACTGACTTTGGATCAGACCATTTACCTGTTACCTCTTTGTCATTCATCCACTTGCTCAAATATGAATTGAGTTTGTACTGTGTCCTAGTTGTTGTGTGAGACACCAAGGATAAAGAACAGAGTAGAGCAGCATTCTTTTAAGGGGCTTATAGTATGGTGAATGCTCTTTGGAAACTGTCACATACAGTCTTATGAGTGCAAAGTGTTATATATTGTTAATACAGAAGAATATCAAAGCAGGTTGAAAATAAGATTCTTGGTTATCAGTGAGGAATTGTTGGTAGGAGGAAAACAATCTCACTATTTCAAACAGAAAAATATTTTTGAATTGTGATAAGGTTAATAACTGGTTTTATATTTTTATTTATCTTTTAAAATTAAAAAAATTATTTATCTTCTAAAATCTTATTTACTTGACAGAGAGAGCACAAGCAGCGGGAGAGGGCAGAGGAAGAGGGAGAAGCAGGCTTCCCGCTGAGTAGGGAGCCCAATGCAGGGCTCAATCCCAGGACCCTGGGATCCTGACCTGAGCCGAAGGCAGACGCTTAACCGACTGAGCCACCCAGGCACCCCTTATGATATTTTTAAATTATAAGGTTATAATCTTCATTAACTAAATGTAATAAAGCTACATTGTATTTAAGTGTATTTTTCTGCTAAAGTAAAAAATGATAAAAATTTAGGCTCACATTTTATAAAGCTCAAAACATTTTTTCCAAAGACTGTGAAGAAATAGGTTTTAACATTTACTTGTGGTATATAGTTAGGTGTTCTAAAATCTTAAAGGGGTGCCTAGGTGGCTCCGTCAAACATCTGCCTTCAGTTCAGATCATGATCCCGAAGTCCTGGGATCGAGTCCCACATCGGGCTCCCTTCTCAGTGGGGAGCCTGCTTCTCCCTCTCCCCCTACTCCTGTTTATGCTCTCTTGTACACCCTCTCTCTCTCTCAAATAAACAAAATTTTAAAAAATAAAATTATCTTAAAAGTTGAGACAAAGAATTTACTTGAGTTTAATGAAATGCAGATTTAAAGCTGTCCGTCTTGACAATTCTGTTCCTTGAGAAAGGAGATAACATTAACACAATGAAACGGTTATTATAAATGATAGCTATGATTTAAAATTCTTTTCTTGATTCCTGCATTATTTGCTCTCTTGGAATATTTTAATTGCATGTCTAAAAAGTCAAGGAAAATTAATAGAAAATACAGAGGTCAGATCCAATGAAATTCTAGAACAGAAATACTAGATGCATATTTTTTGATCCATTGTACTTAATATTACATTCTACTATGAGACTTACATATTGTCTCACAGCTTGAGCTTCATACCTTAATATTCAACCTGGAAATTATAACAGCCCAAAATTATACTCTAGAACACATTTTATTAGGCTATTAAGTCATTTTCAAAAGCTTCTTGAAGCTTATCTCACTAATTGCTATGCCTGTTGATACCAGTATTAATATTACCATTGGGTATATTATATATATGTTTCATGTACTTAAATTAGATAAAAATGGAGAATGTAAGGTGAAATGAGTAGTTGAGTAACAGTCAAAAAACCTGGAGTCTACTTCCTTGTTCTGTGGCTGAACAACTTACAACCTGGACAAGTCACTGAATCTCTTGGTGCCTATTTTTTTATATGGGGTTGGACTGAGTGATTTTTTTTTTAAGATTTATTTATTTGAGAGCGAGCACATGAGTGGGCCCATGTGTGCGAGTGGGGGGAGAGGCAGAGGGAGAGAATCTTCAAGCAGACTCCCTGCCGAGCACAGAACTGGATACCCAGTTCAATCCCAAGACCCATGAGATCACGACCTGAGCCAAAACCAAGAGTCGGACGCTTAACCGACTGAGCCACCCAGGTGCCCCTGGACTAAGTAGATCAAGTCTAAACTTTCTTAATAGGACATTCGGGAATCTTCCCAGTCTGCCCAGCCTTTCTAGTTTCACCATGGATTTGCTGGGTAACTAACCTACAGCTCCCGAAATTTGCAATGGGTCATCAGGCATTGGTGTTTTTGTTCACATTGCTTCTTTTGTCTGAATGTGTGGAATCCTATTTATCTTAAATCCTATTTATCTTTCAAGGTTTAAATCAAATGTCACCGTCTCTGTGTAACTTAACCCCAACCCCCTCCTTCACCCCACCATTGTCTTTTCCACAACTTTTCCATGTTTCTATAGCCCTGTATATATACTGCTATTATACCACTTAATACTTTGTATTATAATCATTTGTGGTCCCATCTATTTCTCCCAACAAAGTTACTTGATTTCAAAAGTTTTTTCATACCTTTTGTATCCCATTGCCAGAGTACGTTCTCCTTTTCACAAAAATACGATATTATAAATACAGACCAAATATATCAAATTTGAAAAAAATGCAGCCTTTTTGATAAATTGTATAGTAATATGCTATAGGCTATAGTAATATTGCAATACACTCTCTGAAACCTATGATGGGTACTTAGTTGTCTTCATTTGACATGAATGATTAATATGTTAGAACGGAATCATTAAACCCCTTCATCATCCCAGCCTTCTGTATTATGACCAAGCTCTTACTGATGAGCTACATGTTTTACCTTATCCTTTGGTGTTTTCTCTCTACGCATTCTTCATAACAATTCATCTGGCTTGCCTGCGATCTTAAAACACTTGGAACCCTGCAGAGGGGCTGAATTGTTGTGTTGCTGCTGCCCCCTGAAGGTGGCCAAGAACATCGCATCTGCCTGTGCAGACAGGAGAAAAGCCACTTCAGACTAGATTAGGAAAAGGCTCTGAGATTCCCCATATAAAATCCTTTGGCATTCAGGTTACTGACTATAGGAATTAAGTTATTAAAGTAACTTCATTTAGCATTCTAAAACCGTGAGGGCGTGCTCGGTCCAACTACTCCCGTCGAGGAATGAGAACTGACATGATTTGATAGAACATTCTTTCCTATAATTCAGCCAATCTCAGAATGTGGTTTCAGAATCCCCGGGAGTCCCCAAGACCCTTTCAGAGCCCATGAAGCCCTTCCTTTTCCAATTATATCTCTGTATGAGGCCATATCTTTAAATACTTCCGTCCGAATAACATATCACAATTTTGAATGCAGAAGCAGGTATGAGAATGTATCTGTCTTTTTTTTTTTAAGATTTTTTTTTAAGTTTTTTCTTTATTTGACAGAGACACAGCGAGAGAGGAAACACAAGCAGGGGGAGTGGGAGAGGGAGAAGCAGGCTTCCTGCTGAGGAGGGAGCCCGACATGGGGCTCGATTCCAGGACCCTGGGATCACGACCTGAGCTGAAGGCAGACACCCAATGACTGAGCCACCCAGGTGTCCCTGGAGGCATTTTTCTTTAACATCAGAGAACTTACTTTTATATGTGTTCACACTTTCAGATGTTATTTAAATGAATCATTTTCTAACTAAAAATGTTAGCCTCATTATATTGGTAATTATCTTTTATCCCATCTAGACTATGAGCTCCATAAAAAAGATATTTTAGGGGTGCCTGGGTGGCTCAGTCAGTTAGGCGTCCGAATCTTGATTTTGGCTCAGGTCATGATCTCAGGGTTGTGAGACTGAGCCCCTTGCTGGGCTCTGCACTGGGAGTGAAGCCTACTTAAGATTCTCTCTCCCCCTCTCCCCCTCCTACTCCCTCTCCCTCTCTAAAAAAAATAAAAGGAGAGATACTTTATTCTCTTCATCTTTGTAGTGCCTTATACTATGTCCAGCACATTGTAGAAAGATAAGTTTCTTGAGTGAATACTCATTTTAACTAGTTTAATCTTCT